CATTACTCATTTTGGAGTGTGTGTTTTTTATTAGTATGTCTCATCTGTACACACTCTTGGATTAGCAAATATCGGAGTCTTTTGCCTTAGTGATTATTTTTTCTATGGACTTCTGGCATTGTTATCTTTTGCTTTTCTAGAGGAATTGACCTATACTAGCATATCATGGGTGATGTTGAGTCTCTTAACCACCTTCCATCTTTTTGCATCTCCACGGCTTTCCCTCTGTTCTTTGGAGTCTAGCCGTGAGGAAAAGGCTACCTTAGAGTCACCAACCAGGCCATCCTTATTATATTCATGCTTCTTTTGGTTCGTTCCATACTCTGAGCGTGTCAGCCGCCAATGAGTGTGCAAAAGAAAGAAAAAATGTGCAAAAGAAAGAAAGAAACAAACAAACAAACAAAAAGATGTGCAAAAGAAAGAAAAAAAAAGATGTGAAAAAAAAGGAAAAAAAAATAAGGATCTCATTGATTGAGGGGGAGCCTCCGCCTTTACTCACCAAATACCCTTTGATTCCTAGTGTTTGACTTTCCTTTGTTGTGCTTAGATTCTTTTGCTGGAGGCCCAGTTATCAGATCAATACTAGGATTTGAATCTTGTGTTTGTCGAACTCCAAGATCACATACACACTTTTTTCATGGGATCTATGCTTTTCACATAATGCATCACTTTCTTTTATGAGGAATCTTCTAAAGGCTATGCACATTGTGTTTCAAGTAATTGTGCTTCTTGATAATCTTGTGTGTTTCAAGGTCCAAAACTGAAATTCCTTACTTGCTCTACATATTTTTTGTCATTTCTTCTTGTTCATTGTTTTAGTGAGGGGAGTTTTGGTTTATCTTTATAAGAGTTTGTTAACATGAACACTTTGATTTGTTTGGAAAGGGAGATTGGCTAAAGTTGTTTTGCATGTTGCTATGCATTGTTTGTTCATTATTTCCTTCTTGCATGCTCCTGATATTTACATCATCATATCATTGCTTGTGTGGTTTCTGATATTGCTTTAGTTGATTGAGCTTCCTTTGTCAATTCGTGACAAAAAGGGGGAGTAATGTTGTCCGGTGCATGTGTCTTAGGATTTCATGTATTCATGCAATGTGTCGGGTGCATGTGTCTAGTTTTCAGGGTTTCATGCTACATCTCTTAATCTCCAAGTCGTATCTATTCATGTTTTCCACATCTCATACTTCAAGATTATCTTGTCATATGTTTATTGTTTTTCATATACTCTTGTGGGACATAAGTTGTTTTGGAGATTGTGGCACTAATAGTTGTTTTGCAGATCATGACCTTGAGAAAGAAGTTTGCTTTGTTGGCTGTAATGGGTTGGGATTTTTTAGGATTTTATTTGTTAGGTGTGTTTTGTCACGGCATTGCCAAAGGGGAGATTGTTAGGTTTTTATTCTTGGCAACCCCGTTTGACAAAAACTCCTTTAAGTTGTATTTTGCTTTCGCATTTTTATTTCAATGAGGCTATGAGTTTTTTAGATGCGAATCCAACCTATAGCGATCCTGATTTTTCTCTCTCTTTATTCATTGTATTCCGGACTCGGTTCTGTGGATATGTTGATGTCTCATTCTCATTTCCATCATTTACTCTTGTATTTGAGTCTTGGGTTTGTGTTGGGCAGGTTTGAAACAGGTTGGTTGTGCTTTGAAACCAAAAGTTGATGCCCAGGATTTGGCCTTCACGCTCGAGCGGGTCCTTTGTTGTTGCTTCTCCATTCGAGCGGGCATTTTGACGCTCGAGCGTGAATTTTCATCTCCCAGTATTTTTTCTCTGCAGGTCTTCGTCAACTCGAGCAGGAGTTTTGAATGCTCGAGCGGTGACCTTTGATTCTTTGTTTTTTTTCTCCGCTCGAGCGGGGAGTTTGACGCTGAGCGGGACCATCGTCTGCAAAAACTTTGTAAGTGTGCATCCGACGCTCGAGCGGGCATTTTGATCTCGAGCGTGAGTCTGTGTCTGACGCTCGAGCCGGGGTTTCCACGCTCGAGCGAGAGACTTTTATATCACTTCGGGATTTCACTTTTTGGATCACTTTTCAACATCCTTTCTCTCTCTTACTTTTCGAAAACCACCATTTGAGAGCACCTCACTCAAAACCTTAACTTCCTTTCTAGGATTTGATCTAGTTTAGAGTGAATCCTCCTACCCTTGAGCCTTTACAAAAAGTGTAGAAGCTTGGTGTGGGCTTCCTATCAATCCGAAAATTTCTTGATTTGGAGCACTTTGGGATTTTCTTCATCATCTCCTTTGGGTTTTCATCTCTTGAGGTAGGGATAACTACTCTCATTTTATGGTCTTTGACATAAACTATTGGTCATTTTGATGTAATGTTGATATTGGGTAATTTGGAGTGTTAGGGTTTCAATGAATAAAGAGGGGTTGGTTATTTTGACTCATAATGTGTATCTTGGGTTTTAAAATGATGTTGTTGTTGTTGTTGAGGATAATTTGGGACCTTTGGGTCATTGTAGAGAAAAAGGGGGAGAAAGCCCTAATTTTTGGCTATGAGTTAATTTATGAAATTGAGTTGGAAATAAATGAAATTGGCTCATTATGAGATAGAATGGTGGATTGGATTCATTAATCACTCACCTTTGAAATTGTTGATAATTACTGTTGGTGCATTATTATCTGTTAGAAATAATTGCCTTGGGCTATCGATGGAAGATAGCCTTGATTGTTGTAGACACTGCTTGATGATTAGGTAAATTAAAACTAATCAAGTTGAGTATTTGAAATACAATGGGTGCCGAATCTCGCGGATGAAATTTCCCGTAAAATGGCCATTTTGAAAATATTACACTAGGGTGCCCGAAATCTCGCAATTTCCGTAAAATGACAATTCAAAAATATTATACATGGGTGTCAGATCCTGCGGAATGAAAATTTTCGTAAATGGAATCTGAAAACATCTATCATGGGTCCGAGTCCAGCGGATGATTTCCGCTGAATGGCCAATGAGAAAGTAATTATGCATGGGTGTCCGAATCCCGCGACAACACAATTTTCGTGAAAAATGGTAGTCCTGAAGTATGTTGGCTTGAAGATGTAGTCTCGCTTAGAGTTGTTTGGCCAGGTTCCTGAGCTGTATTTATAAGTTGAGTTTTGTTAAGTGAAGGATTATGGAACTGGATTGTACTGTATGTTTGGTTTATATGAGTTAAACATTATCAAAGTGGCTCAATGTTTAGTTATTGTTCATATTATGTTTTAGGCATTTCTTACTGGGCGTTGGCTCACCCTATAGGACATCATTTTCAGGTACAGGTGTTATGCCACCTCCAAGGACGTAGCTTGGGAAGGCTTTGGGGCTTGTCAGACTCTTTTTTGTTATTTTGTTGTATTACATGTATAATCAAGCCAAGGGCTTATTTTGTTGGTAGAGTTTAGTACTCTCTTTTGTAACCAATGTTGGCTTGGAAGTGTAAGCCAATAGGGCATTTATTTTTGTTGTCAACATGTAATACCTTTTGTAGAATAACTCTGATGATTGTAATATGAAATCTCTTCTATTTATCGTGAATGTTAGGTTATGATGGGTTTATTTTTTTAGGGGCGTTACATAACCAATTGTGGCCTTTGTAGAGAAGTTTTGTGATGTTAATTCTTTCAAGATTGCCACTTCGCTATTATGACGGGGATCGAGCTGCCGGTCAACGCGTAGGGGTCTGGGGTAGAGCTTCCTTGGCGGGTCTGGGGCAGCGCCAACGGCGGGGTCGAGGGGCAAGTGCCCCTGAAGCAAAAAATGCCAAAATGCAAAAATGCATTCCAAGTTGCCTGTCGCTCGAGCGGACATATCCCCCCGCTCGAGCGGAGAATGCTGAGTTCCAGAAGTTTATTCGCTTGCAAAAAAAATACTGATGTTGTTTTTTTCCACCAGCGTAACTTTTCGCGCTCGAGCGGAGATCACGGGACAGTTTTCTATAAATACATGGGTTAAGTTCCAGATTCTAGGGTAACGCCTCCAGATCTTCTTCTTGAGTTCTAGGTTTAATATCTGGGGCTTATTTTTCTAGTTTTTTTTTATGTTCAGTGAGTAATTCCAACTCGAATGGTTTAAGAAGCATACAGCAAAGGTTTGTTTGTTTATTCCTATACAAAAAAAGGAGTTTATTTTCCCCCCCTCAAAAAAAGTAGATTCTGGGAATTCGAGCCTGAAGCTTGGTGGATTTCTAGAGTGGCTCAATCGTCACACTAACAACAAGTTGGTCTTGAATGACGAAATTTTTTTGTCTCGAAAGAGCTAATTTCGTCACTATAAGATATTGTGACGAAATATTTTCGTCACCATTTCGTCATTGAATGTTTGTCACTAAAAACCAACATGACGAAAATAAATTTCGTCACCAATGAAAATAGTTCAGTGACGAAATTTTTGTCACCAATAAAACAAGATTTTGTCGCAAAAAATTCTCATTTTTCACACAAATAATTATTTCAATACCATATTTATAATTTTAGTTGACGAATAAATTTATCACAAATGTTGATCATTGATGAAAAATAATTTCGTTCACAGTAAGATGTAAAGGTGACGAAAGTTTTTCGGTCTCCAAAAAGTCAATACATGGGTGGACGAAAAATATATTTCCGTCGCAAATATATTTATATACACTGACGAAATATATTTCGTCACCAAACAACAAAATCAATGAAAAATTCTATATAGTGCACTAACAAATTTTGTCAAAAAAATGTTTATTAAATGACGAATAATCACTTTTGTCATAATAACAAGCTACAAATGACGAAACAATTCGTCACTAAAACCTGTTTCCATAATTTTATATTTCAATTATTATTTTACAAATATCCCTGCTCATATCCCAATAGCCTTTTAATTGTACTAAGAAATCACTAGCTATTATACATCATCCACAAAAAAATCAATAAACAATTTATATATTATAAATCAAAATATATCCATCAAACAACTTTTAATAATATAACGCATTAGTACGAACAAAAAAACCAACCAAAAGCAAATCTCAAAATGAACTACCGTGAAATCCACAAAAAAAAATCAACACTCAATCTTGATTTGAAACTACAACTAAGTATCAGTTCACGAAACAAAATTCAACAATTGATCTTCATTTGCAAGTATACTTCCAAACGTCATGAAAAACCAATCTGCAAAGAAAATAGACAAAGAAAACATTAATATATTATCAATTACATCTAAAGGGCTAGAGAATTTTTTTTTTTCCATACAATGAAGGCCAGAACCATATTAAAAAAATTAATAATAATAAATTCATATAAAATAAAGTCATGATCATCAACTTGTTGGTATAACAAATAGATATAAATTCAAGTAGTCAATTGAGTATTTCTAGTAGTTAACTTTGAGTATTTTAGTTGCAAATATTTAAATGCTTACCTGTATCTGTTCCTTGTTTCCGGCAGTAATGTTTGAGATTGTTCAACAGGCTTCTTTCTTGATGCTGTTATGATTGTGGGTTAACAGATTCAGCAAGCAATAATTGGTCTATAATTTGAATTGAAGAAATAATAAATTTAAAATTTTGCATAGCTTGGGTTTGGGAAATAAATCGAAGAAAACAAATTGTTCTACCCAACCAAACACTTAACTTGTGAGTGAAAAAGTTGCATATCAAATTCAACATAAGCACATAAAAATTGAAATAGGCTCAATGCAAGACAGGAAAGGTAAGTTAGGAAGAAAGATTGAAATAGCGCCTAAAAACTTAGGTTTCCATATTCAACCCCCTCCCCCTTCTAGAACACATTCACGCGCAATGTGTGTGCATGTGAGAGAGAGAGTTGTCATTACCTGTCTGTAAAATAGAATGCTTCTTCAACACCATCACCATGCTGCACATCTATACCAATGTATAGAACGCGTGGATGATATTTTAGAAGCTCCAAAATCCCCAAAACCAAGCCATTGATGTAACAAAAACCAGATGCCTCTTCAATGGAAAAGTTAGAATTTCATAGTTGCACTCATGTTTCAAGTTGGTTTCTTAGGAAACAGAAACATTTTAGCCATTTTGATGAAGAAAAAAAAAAGTTCCTTGGACGCAATAGGCTAGTATACTAAATTGGTGGTCAAGTTTGAATTTAGATGTTGTGGCTGCAAATTGGCTATTTAGACCATGTTCAACTGAAACTACATCATCAAAAACAAGAAACCTTGATAAAATTGAAAAAGTAGCATCATGCGATAATACAAAACAACCTACAAGGAAAAACATACAAAGAAAAAGAACTTGTAATTAATTGAAAGGCAATAAAGGTTACCTTATATCAGGGATGATGGGGAAATAGAGAAGGGAAATATAAGCAGAAGCAGCAGAGAAGAAATACAAAGAAGAACCAGAGAGGGAGAAGAAGAAACGAAGAGTAAGTAAATAGAGTATAGAAAAGAGAAATGAGGGGAAAATAATGGAAAGAAACATAGGAGGAGAGAGAACCTGCTACACAAGGAGAGAAGTTATGCTACGGTTAACATTCAGCTATGCCAATACTAACTAAAGTTCATTACACTGCCATATATATATATGTCTGTCCAAAAAACAAAATCGATAAGAATTTAGAGATCTAAAATAAGTAAAGGACCCCAAAAATAGCAGTGCAAGGGGAAGCTCAACACTATATACATATTCCAATTTGCAACAGCCAAGAAGTCTTAACTATTTTGGGTACCACCTAAATAAGCTGCTTATTGGCTTATTTACTGCAAGTTATCACATCAATTCTCTACTTTTGTGCATGTATTTTCGTAAAAAGCCAATAAGCCACTAAATAAGTCATACCCAAACCACCCTTAGTTTGGAGTTCTAAAAACTTCAGCCAAAGTCACAAACGCCATAGTGCAGTTCATAACTATTAAGTTGAAGTCAGAAACATCATAGTGCTATTCTTCATGCATATTCCAATTTGCAACAGCCAAGAAGTCTTAACTATTTTGGGTACCACCTAAATAAGCTGCTTATTGGCTTATTTACTACAAGTTATCACATCAATTCTCTACTTTTGTGCATGTATTTTCGTAAAAAGCCAATAAGCCACTAAATAAGTCATACCCAAACCACCCTTAGTTTGGAGTTCTAAAAACTTCAGCCAAAGTCACAAACGTCATAGTGCAGTTCATAACTATTGAGTTGAAGTCAGAAACATCATAGTGCTATTCTTCATGCAAGTAGCTTGTACAAAAATCCTAATTTTTCTACTAAAAGCAAATGGAAATATGTCTTCAAATAAAAATTCAATTTTTTTTCTTTGATAAATAATAATTGATTAAAGAAACAACATCGGAGGGGTTGCCACTCTTATACAAACAAGAACTCAAATGAACAAGTCAAAGCACACAATTATAGGTTCAACAGGATTAATCATGTCTTTCTTTACCTAAATAGCTCCTATCAAAACAGCTAATTACTTCCTATGTCTTTTTAGTTCAACCAAATTATTTCTGAGTACACAAGGTTTGTGAGCAAAAATGTTACATTTAAGTTAAGTTGAAGGCTTTACCATAGAACAAACCTCAACGGGGAAATAAGTAATTTAATATCTTGTAGCCCCTTAGTGTACATAAAAACAATCATGGTACCCTATTACTATTCTACATATTGAAAATGGCTCCTTGGATACTAGAACATTGAACCATGAACAAAGAAAGGCATGGGGAGAAAACTTCCTACAAGTGTCTATGGGGCGTATTATTTATTCATCCACATCTATCCCAATAAGCTGTTTATGAAATCTTAGCAGGCAATATCCAGGATGGACAAAAAAGCTGTAATGCTTAGTTCAATCCATGGAAACTACATAATACAAAAGGCCCAAAAAAAAAAAGTTTTAAGGGGTTGAATTACTTCCCCCACCCCACCCCACCTTTTGAAGAGCTAGTTAGCACGTGTAACATTTTCTAAAGTACATACTTTAGAATGCTATAACAACCAATATTGATTTGTGCCCCAAAAAAATAAACAAAACACAAAATAAAGCTTCTCATCTGTGGCATGGAAAGTAATGATTACCAAAGTGTTTAAGAATTGAAAAAGGCTGAACACTATAATCATTTAGTCTTGTACATCATAATGAAAGACAATGCTGCTGATAACGCCTCAAGTATGTCAAGGTATGCATAATTGAGAGAACTCCACAAGGAAAAAAGGTGATGGAGGGTAAACTTACAATGTGGAGAGGGATGAAAGCTCACCAAACATGTCATTCACTTGGCCTTGAAGTTGATTGTGACCAACATTTCTACAATCAAAGCGTAATGTAACAACCAGTGGTTAAGTATGAAGTTTTAAATAGTTTTGACATGAATAATAAAAGTCAAATTTCGGATGCTTGACTAACAGGTATTTTAGGGAAGTCATTTGAGATATGGAATACGGGATGCCACCAGTGAAGCTATTTCCAGCAAGGTTTCTGCAATATAGGAGGATTGCTAATGAAACCACCATGAGAAAATTAAAGGGCGCAATTTTTTAATTTTTTGATAAATGAAATTAAGGGACTGAAATAGAAGAGAAGGAAAAATCAGTAGGTATTAAGCATACAGTTGCGTGCAGTTTGGAGGAAGCTGATAAGGTATCTGGTTTCCAAGATTATTATTGCTTATATAACTGCAGAATTCATCAAATCACCACATCAAGATTATCAAACAGAAAGATGAAAACACCAGCAAATCATCTTAGAAGGCTATTGATCTTACAAATTGGTTACTGCTCTCAAACTTGCGAGCTGGTATCCCATTGACCCAGTAAGCCCAAGACCAGAATACTGCAGTGAAAAAGTGCGACCTGCTAATTTTCCTAAGAAAATACTTTGAAAGGCATTTTCCGAGAAAAACCCCAATAAAAAGTG